GGTAGGTGGGTAAAGTCTAGAAGAAATACAGCTGCTTATACTTGGACAGGCACACATCGATGGATTTGCTCTTCAGTGTTTGGACTCAGTAGTGATTATAAAACCACACTGAACAGAACTTAAACTCTAAAAACTGAACTACACTGTTTTAATTTACTATGATCTTTTATGTGAAGCTGCTTTTTATCTACATTGTAAAAAAGTTTAAAACAACATATAATATAATAATAATAATAGTCTATTTTTCCATTATTGTGAGGGGTAGATGTTAGTAAAACACTGCTATGAGTAGATTAATAAATGTAAACATTTTTGGTTGCCGGGTTAATGTATCTAGAAGGGATACAGCTGTGGATACTTGGATATGCACATATCAATATACTATAATTTTTACATTTCTGTGAGGGGTAGATGTTAGTTAAACACAATGTAATGAGTAATTTGATAATGAAATACATTTTCTGGTGGCTGGGTTAATGTACAGGGTGATTCAAAAAGAATACCACAACGTTAAAAACCGAAAACTCTGCAAAAAAAGAAGAGAGCTAAGCTCTTTCAGTCATCTTAAGGAAGCTCTGAAGTTTCATTTGGTTGCCTTACTTGCCTATTGAACGAGAGGTGCCCAAAGCAATGGATCAGCCGCAAGGCAGCTCCCCTAGTAGCAAAGAATTCTGGCCCAGATTTGGCATAAAGCTGGCACAGCAGCATTCATCCAGCACTGGCATACAGCATGTTGGCCAAACATGGCCCGGGTATGGCAGAGGTGGCACCATCTTTAAAGTGACACACAATATTGTAAAACGTAATATTTGGCCCAGATTGATATGTGGGCCATGCAAGTTTGGCCAGTCTTGACCCACATTTAAAATACATTAAAATAATTTTTGAGAAAAGAAAAAAATTCTACAAATCAGGTCACTTTGAGAAAAAGCATGCCCGTGCCTACAGCGCAGCGCTTCATTGCAATTGTGACACCAACCTATCTGGCCCAGTTCAGGCCAATTTATGAGTTATTAACTTGGCCCAGATATGGTTCGGCTTTGGTCCAGTCACGTGACAGCACTTCATCACTGGTCTCCATTAAGCTCTGACCTCACCCCCTGGGACTTTTTTTTTTTTCTATTGGGGTACGTTAAAGATATGGTGTTTTGACCACCTCTACCAGCTAACATTGAGGAACTAAAAAAAAACATATCTGCAGCTATCCAACCTGTTACGCCAGAGATGCTACAGAGAGTGTGCGCAACGAGGTTGATGTCATTCCAGTGTCTGTAGGGGGTCAAACTGAACATCTATGATCTTGTTTTCTGCTGTTTAAGTACTCTTCACGTTCATTAGTTACACAAGGTGTAATGTTTTAATCACCCTAATGTCTAAAAGCGATACAGCTGCATATACAGTTGAAGTCAGAATTATTAGCCCCCCTGAATTATTAGCACCCCTGTTTATTTTTTTCCCCCAATTTCTGTTTAACGGAGGGAAGATTGTTTCAGCACATTTCTAAGCATAATAGTTTTAAAAACGTATTTTTAATAACTGATTTATTTTATCTTTGCCATGATGACAGTAAATCATAGTTTACTTGATATTTTTCTTATATACACTTCTATACAGCTTAAAGTGACATTTAAAGGCTTAACTAGGTTAATAAGGTGAACTAGGCAGGTTAGGGTAATTAGGCAAGTTATTCTATAACGATGGTTTGTTCTGTAGACCATCGAAAAAAATTAGCTTTAAGGGGCTAATAATTTTGTCCAAAAAATAGTTTTTTAAAAATTCAAAACTGCTTTATTCTAGCCAAAATAAAACAAATAAGACTTTTTCAAGAAGAAAAAATATTATCAGATACTCTGTGAAAATTTCCTTGCTCTGTCAAACATCATTTGGGAAATATTAAAAAAAGAAAAAAAAAATTAAAAGGGGGCTAATAATTCTGACTTCAACTGTACTTGGCATGCACATACCATTATAGCACAATGTTTAGGCTATTGTGAGGGGGAGATGTTTGTTAAACGATGTATTGGGTATAAATATAAACATTTTTTTGTGGTTGCTGGGTTAATGGGTAAAGTCTAGAAAGGATACAGCTGTTTATACTTGGACATGGACATATTAATATAGCATAATTTTTACATTACTGAAAGGGAAGATATTTGCAGTAGTTGTTGACACAATGTCATGAGTAATTTGATAAATTATATACATTTCTTTTGGTGGCTGGGTTAACGAGTAAAGTCTAGAAGAGATACAGTTGCAAATAATTGGGCATGCGTATATCAAAATAGCATATTCTGTACATTACTGTGAGGGGTAGATGTAAGTAAAACACAATATAATGGGTACTTTAATTAGTAATTCTTACTTCCAGCTGTATGCCTTCTGTCCGCAACCTTGTTAATGCAAATAGTGTACATTTTGACTGCAATCTTATTGAAATAATGTTTTCATAAATCTGTTTTACAGTGGATATAAAAAGTAGTTACACATATGTCCACACTTCTGTTCTGAACTCTAAAACTGATAGATTTAATCCCAGTGCTGTTTAAAAAAATATTGTGTTCTTTAACAAGCTTCCATTTTCTTGCCATTTTTTTACTCATTTATTTTTTGGTAAGAATTTATCATAACTACAGATTCATAGACTTGTGCATTTATCAAATTATATGAAACTAAAATCACATTACAGTAAGAAATAATACTAATGAAAGAATCAATCTTGTTTAATCAAACAGTTCTGGGCCCAGTTTTTCAAAAGTAATCCAGTGGGATTTTGTACAATGGATTGGGTCAAATCTTAGAAATGGGTTTGTTTAAAAGTAACAGGGATTTTGAATTAAGATTGGACCACATAATCCAATCTTACATTTACATTTAGTCATTTACATTTAGTCATTTAGCAGACACTTTTATCCAAAGCGACTTACAAATGAGGACAAGGAAGCAATTTACACGACTAAGAGCAACAATGAATAAGTCCTATAGGCAAGTTTCAGGTCTGTAAAGTCTAAGAAGGGAAGTATTAGTAGTATTAGTATTTTTTTTTATTTATTTATTTATTTATTTATTTTTTGGGTACAATTAGTGTGATATTCAGAGAGGCAATTGCAGATTAGGAAGTGAAGTGGAGACTTCTTGATTTAGATCAAATCTGTCCTTTGGGTTATTCAAAACGTTGAACTCCAATTGGGATCTATTTGATCTAAAAATAAATAAATAAATAAAAAACAGGATTATCCTGATCCCATCAGAAGGATGGATTTTTGAACCAAATAAAATTAAAAAGTTTTGTTTTTTATGTGAATGATCACAGTGATAATGGTTACTGATGATATACATTTATTGGTAACACTTTACAATAAGGTTCATTAGTTAATGCATTTACTAACATGAACTAATCATGAACAACACATGTACAGCATTTATTAATCATAATTGAACATTTACTAATGCATTATTAACATCCAAGTCCATGCTTGTTAACATTAGTTAATTCACCATGAATTAACATGAACTAACAATGAACAACTGTGTTTTCATTAACTAACCTTAACTAACATGAACAAATACAGTAGTGAATGTATTGTTCATTGTTTGTTCATGTTAGTAAATGCATTAATTAACATTAACTAATGAACCTTATTGTAAAGTGTGACCCATTTATTAATATCTGAAGCCACTATGAAGCATGCCACATCTAATGAGATATGGTAAACAACAATATCAAAGCAGTATTGTATTAGAACAAACTAAAAAAGGTCAACTGTTTGTTGATTGCAGTGTTTCAGTTCCTTATTAAAATGAACAATGGCTGTTTGTGGCCACTGGTATTTGCCTATACCTGCTGTTGTCATAAAAGAGATCAGTTAGTCCAGGATTTCATAATCTAGACCAGCTTGATCTGGATCATTTAATTTATTTTTCATATTTTTACAAAACTGGGCCCAGGTTATATCAGTATTTAAAAAACTGCTTATTTTTTACATAGAATGACAACTTAGTGATGAATTTTAAGTGTACTGTGATGTTTAAAAGGTACTTGAAACAAATATTCACTTTTTAAAATTGAGTTTGAGTTGAATTGTGGGGCCAAGTTAAAATAATACTTCTGTTATTTTTATTTATCAATGCTTCATAATGCAAAGTCTTAAAGTGAAGAGTAAAGAATGCGTTCATGATAAATAAGCTGTGCATAAAATAATATTTTTGTAAGTCATCTATTTAGATTTACACAATGCTTTTAAAATGATTAGACCATCAAATAGGAGTAATGTATTCAAATGGTGTTTAGTGGATAGCACTGTCGCCTTACAGCAAGGAGGTCGCTGGTTCGAGTCCCGACTGGGTCAGTTGGCATTTCTGTGTGGAGTTTGCGTGTTCTCCTCGTGTTGGTGGGGGTTTCCTTCGGGTGCTCCCGTTTCTCCAACAGTTTAAAGACATGCGCTATAGGTGAATTAAACTAAATAGGCTGTGTGTGTGTGTGTGTGTGTGTGTGTTTATGGGTGTTGCGGATGTTAAGTTGGCAGTTCATTCCGCTGTGGTGACCCCTAATGAATAAAGGGACTAAGCCGAAGGTAATGAATGGATGAATGAATATCAAACTTTATCCTGCATAAAAAGTATCCTATTAACGTTATATTTAATACTGTTAACAAAAGGACGTTTGTGGCAATGTTGTACTTGCTTTAAGAATAGCAAAAGCTTACAAAACTTCGAGGAATACAACACAAAACACTGTAACGTAAAGATAAATATTCTGCATGTCGATGGTACGAACGCCTTGAGGACGTGGCAGATCTAAACCAATGACATAATCACGTTTGGACTGAAGTGGACCAATCGCGAATCAGCGTAGACTACGTCTGCATGGGCGGTTCAATGTGCAATCTTGAATCCGATTGGTCTGTTAAGAGAGGTCCTAGATTTATCTTCAATCTGATTGGTCAGTACAGCGGTCCTTCCAGGGGAAGCGTCTAAAAACTAGTAGTTGGACATCCGGAGTTACTGAGATATTAGCCGGGCGGCGTGAAAAACTGCACATTTTCGTGGGTAAAGTTGAATTAAACCATTAAAAGTAGAAGAAAAATGCCCCATTAAGCATCGCTGTTTTAAGTTTGTGCCATTTGAGTATTACGTGCAATTGTGCGAGGCTTAATGAGGGTAACTGAAGTGATGTTTGCATGTTGCAGAGAATAGTATATTTAAAAGGACATATTTGGTAACGTTAACATTTTAAAACAACGTGTTCGGGTGTACTTTTGCTATTAATTGTGGGGAAATGCATTTAAATGTAACAAGACTGTCAAATACTCTATATATGAAGAGTTCAGATGCAAAAACCTCTAACGTTCCATCTGAAAGTGCCATCTGAAATTTCCATTGAAAATGAGCATTTTATCCAGACTCATATGTTTATGTTGAGTTATTTCATTTTAAAGAGCTTTTAAAAAGTATATTCTGTGCTATAAATTTAAAATGACTGAACCCACACACAGGAGCCTGATAAAAATGCTCATTATTGAAGGAAATTTCAAACGGCTTTTAGAGGTTTTTGCATCTCCACTCTTCATATATCCATATAAACATATATACATTTAGAGTTATGCAGTTTATAACGTAATCCTTATGGTACATTTTTTCCGCCTTTTACAAAAACACTTTATTTACTTAATATTTATGTAATTTATACACACGTAATTGCTTTTTATTATATGCATTTATTTTTATTCCGTGTGTACATGTGTATTCATATACATATTTTAGCACAAATTGGTAAATTATTGTAAATATTTTATTGTCGTTTTTTGATTGAAATGATATTGTTTGCAGTTGAATTATTTGCAATTGATGAAATTATATTGTTTGCTTTTTTTTGTATTTTGCCATAATATAGTGAATTGCCTGCATTTCTTTACCTTGTACTTGTACATGTGTAATGGCAATAAAGCTGAATATATTGTAATCTAATATAAACAATACCTTTCCCAAATTGTGTGTACACAGTAAGTATGTATACAGAACAGTTAAACAAATAACTTTGTGCACTTACAGGTAATAAACCCCAAAACCGAAAACTCAGTTTCACAGTTTGAGTTTCTTCTGTTGAACCAGAAAAGATATACTGAAGAATGGAGACTTGCATAGTATTTTATTTTGTTTCTGCAAAAGTATTTCCCCCCTCCAACATTCTTCATAATATCTTCTTTTGTGCATAACGGAAGACTTAAAAAGTCTTAAAAGTTTACAACAACTTGAGGTCAAGTATACAGTGATGAAACATGCCTTTAAGAGCTTATGGTTTATAGAATGAGCATGGTGTACCATTGGTTGTAATATTGTGTGTACATTGACAATCTTTCTACTTTTTTCTGATTCAGTTTTCTATTGATAAAGTGTCGGAGAAGATGGAGCAGTGGCCGCTCTTGTTTTTCGTCGCCCTCTGCATTCTTCAGTCCTCCAGTAAACCGATGGAGAAGAAAGACCGTGTTCATCACGACGTTCCTCTCAGTAACAAAGATCACGATGATGAGGAGAACTTCGACTACGACCACGAGGCTTTTTTGGGACAGGAGGAGGCCAAGACTTTTGACCAGCTCACGCCAGAGGAGAGCAAAGAGAGGCTTGGGTAAAAGTTTTTAACTCTGTATACACTTCAGCATACGTGTCTAAAATGAGCCGCCTTCACTAAACCTGTTAAATAAAACGGCATCATTTTCATTTCAGTACTCAAATCTGTTTTACATGGAGAAGCAGTCTCATCCTTCATCACAAACTCTGTAAATGTCCAGGTTATCCCTCATCTTTTATTATTATTATTGTTATTTTATTATTATTAATTATATAAGTGAAGGGAGGGTAGCAGCACAGTGGCTCAGTGGTTAGCTCTGTCGCCTCACAGCAAGAAGGTCGCTGGTTCGAGTCCCAGCTAGGTCAGTTGGCATTTCTATGTGGAGTTTGCATGTTCTCCCTGTGTTGGCATGGGTCTCCTCCGGGTGCTCCAGTTTCCCCCACAAGTCCAAAGACATGAATTGAATAAACTAAATTGGCTGTACTGTGTGTGTGGGGGGGTGTTTCCCAGTACTAGGTTGCAGCTAGAATGGCATTCGCTTTGTAAAACATATGCTGGAATAGTTGGCTGCTCATTCCACTGTGGCGACCCCTGAAATAGACTAAGCGAAGGAAAATGATTGAATGAATGAAGTAAAAGTATACTTTCTATTGCTTATGTTACCTGCACAGGTGTAAAACGTTTTTAGCAAGAATATAAATGAGAATTCACAAATGTTAATGCAGATTCTTATTGTGTATGTGTTGGAGTGTGCATGTGTGTGTGTGTCAGTGTGTGCCAGAAGTTTTTGTGGTGTAAAAATAGCATATAAAATGATAACAGTAGTTCAAAATTGACCCGTAATACAAACCGTTGAGCGCGAAATGTGTGCAGTCTTCATGACAATAGAAAATTATTGAATTTTTTTTTTCTTTCGAATGTCTGTCATTTTTGAAAAAGTCATCAAACTTTAATATTAATACCTTACATTTCTTAGTTGCATGCTTAAAGGTGCAGTAGGTGATTGTCTTCAGAAGCATTTGTTGTTTTGCTGGTTGAAAGTCTCCACATTCCAATAGTAATGATTACAGTAAATGATCTAAATGTATTTATATGTATTTTTATATTTTGGGTATGGCATAAAACAAAATATGTTCATCCAATTAAATAGTTGGGCCGACATCTCTCATAATTCCGATAAGCAGCTCAAACTGTCTGTCAGCAAATGCAGATTTGAACAACTGCGCAGCCGTTTGTATGCAGCTCCGCCGACTGCTGTGTGCATAGACGTGCTGCGCGTTCATGAGAGAGAGAGCACGACCGTTTGCGATTGGCAAAAACATGCTGAATCAAAACTTTTTAAAATCCTGAAGTTGAATCAATATAGGAGTTCCCTTTCCACGCTGGAGAAAGGATGACACCATGTCTGAATGATTTCTCTTAGACGGTTAATGTTCTGTTTTAAAACTATTTTAGCTTCACGCAAAGCTGATGTAACGTTAGATGTTGTTGTTACAAATGGGTTATATCTTCACCGAAGTGTTCTTCAGCCACTAAAATCTTCCGGTGAAAGGTTGATGAGACTATTTTCAGTTTCATAAGGGGTATTTTACAACATTGATAATGAAGATTTTAATTTAGTTTAACAAAAAAAACACCAGTAAATAGCGCTATTCCGCCTGGTCTCTCCCTACATTGTTTACAGTGTAACTCTAAATATTTGATCTGAAATAGCATGTCAGTTTGGCTTAGTAATGAATGTAATTCCTGCACGCAGCCGGACAAGCACGAGTCGCTTTTAAAACACGTCATCTTTAAGGTGCGCGTGCCCCTGTTTCAGGAGGCGTGGCTCTGGACAGCAGGGGAGGGACTGTGATTCACAGATTTATGCTAAGCTGTGAGCATTGTGGAAGATCACCTACTGCACCTTTTAAACATTTATTTATTTTTATTTATTTATTTATTTATTTATTATTTATTTATTTATTTATTCATATTTATTTATTTGTAATCTTCCAGACATTTAACTTTTTATTCTTTTTCTCTGTTAATGTTTGTGATTTAATTTATTTACATATATTTGAAAATAACAAGTGTAATCTTCAACATTTAAAAAAAAAAAAAAAAAAAATATATATATATATATATATATATATATATATATATATATATATTAAAATTGTGCGCATATTTTTTTTTACGCATAAATAAAAGGAAGCCCAGCAGGCACTAAACATGTTGATTTTAATAATTTTAATAAGATGTTAATTTTAGGTTAGATTTAGGTCGTGACATCAGGTGACCAAAATTCAATGTCTATCTAGCGCCTAAAGACAACGTTATTTTGACGTCCAATAACGATGTCAAATTTAGTTGATTTTAGGTTGTGTTAGAAACTGACCAAAGTCTAACGTTGAGCCAACATCTTAAACCAAAGTCGAATTGACGTCAAATACTGACATTTATTCATTAGGGAATGGCAACCGAAATCCAACGTCTGATACACGTCATCATAGTAGTAACGTCCACACAACGTCATGCTGTAACATCATTAGACACTGATATTTGGTGACTTTTAGGGTGGACATTGATGTCAGCCTGATGTTGGGTTCTAACTCGATTTTCATTCCTAAACAAAATGCAACGTCCCCACGACGTTTAGGTACAGTGTCAATCTGATGTCTAGTTAACATACTGTGCCTGCTGGAAGGTTTAAGAAGAAGGTTTGCAGATCATTAATTCTTTCTCTCTGTACGCAGTAAGATTGTAGAGAAGATCGATGAGGATCACGATGGTTTTGTGACTGCCGATGAGATGAAGCGGTGGATCAAACACGCTCAGAGGCGCTGGATTTATGAGGACGTGGACCGACAATGGCAGGCTCACGATCTCAACTCAGACTCTTTTGTCTCCTGGGAGGAATACAAGAATGCTACGTATGGTTACATACTTGGTGCGTATAGAGTAAAGCTTTTGCTCATGGTGCACATAAATGTAATGTGGGTTTTCAATCCTTTTGGACTGTTAATTTATACTCCCAGTGATAAATCAGATTTGTTTTAGTTGAGGTCAGGATAAAACTTAAGTCCTTTTTTAAGTCTTATGAATAGGGTTTATACATTCATGGAAAAGATGTTTCCCATTACTGGGTTGCAGCTGGAAGGGCATCCGCTGTGTGAAAACAAATGCTGGATAAGTTGGCGGTTTATTCCGCTGTGGCGACCCCTGAATTATAAAGGGAGTAAACCGAAAGGAGAATTAATGAATGAATTCATGGAAAACCTGGAAAAGTCATGGCATTTTCCAGGCCTGGGAAAGTTTTGTAAAAGTCCTGGAAATTAGTTTAACAAATATCTGTATACTTGATTATAGGTTAAAAGTCTTCTTTATGTCCCTGGCCAAACACATGCTCTCACATTGTAAATACATTTTTATAGATATAAGAATACATTTAAGCTAAATAGATTGTGTGTTTTATGATATGGTGTAGTACATTTGCACGTGTTAGCTTCAACCCTGTATGAAGCTAAAATGAAAGAAAAACTTCAATTTCCCTCCCTAGAATTAAAAGGTTAAATTTGATCTTTTTTAGCATGGATCATTAAATTGATTAGACTATTAGCATCTTGCTCAAACGTTTTCTATAATTTCAAGTTTCAATAATTTTTTTATAATAGCAACTTTTCCATTTGTCTCAGTACATGATGTAAGAACAGAAGAGTCCAGATTTGTTCCTTTAAAAATGTAGTTGATAACAACTGTAAACTTTAGTTAGATGCCAGGGAACATTTCACGTATTCTTTTAGCTTTTAACGCTCCCAATTGATTTATTTTTACATGTTTTGTAAATCCAATTTTTAGACCAATTTTCTTTTTTTTTTTTTTACTTTTTTGGTCTTTTTTTTCCCGCATACTTCACCAGTAATATGTCATATGTCTTTTTAGAAATAGAGACTAAAACTAAGTATATTCTCCAAAAAAGTTAAGATTTACTAGTCTAAATTGGTTTATTTTACAGATTAATAATCACATTGGTGAACCGGTAGTAAAATCTCCTACAAATACATATTAAATGAGATATCACCTCGTTGACCTAAAATATATAATAATAATATATAATATTTAATTAAAGTAATAAGCAATTATAGACACATGATCAGCACATATTTAACTTAAAGCTAAATTAAAATGTGTAACTGGAAATAAACTGTATTGTTATTTTTAATTAGTTATTTTTAGTCATTAATGATAATAATAAAATGACTAAATAACTAAAAATAAGTCAAATTTAAAATCTACATTCACAAAAATGGAGCCAGTTTAAAACAATAAATATTTATATAATTTGTATTAACTTTGTTTTTTTATATTTTGTTTAATGTTAGCCCTATATTTCAAGTTACATTTGGATGTCAGTATGTGACCTTAAATGACATGCAATTTACATGCCAGGTGTACGAATTATACATGGTACCAAAATTTTGTTAATTTATAAAAAGAAAAATAGCATTAAAATCAAAAGAAAATAATAATAATAATAAACTTTTTACATTAGAGAGTAAGAATGTGTGTACTAATATAATTCCTTCCAGAATAATCTCAAATGACCACCTTCATTATACACAGGTCGTATAATTGTGAATATATATATATAGCAACAAAATCAGGTCTTTTATCTGTAATAAATTTAATCCATTTCCCCTGGAATATATCCTCTAAGTCAGGGTTTTTCAAAGTCTAAGACAGTGGGCCTCCCTTTTGACACAACTTATCCATTGGCGCCCTCCTCCTCCCAAACACGCACGCACACACACACATACACACATACACACACGCACGCACGCACGCACACACGCACACACACACACACACACACACACACAAAAAATTTCTGGAGGTTTTTCTGCTACCTCATCATGCTTGGTTTCAAGGTGTCGCTGAAGTTTAGCGGGTCTCATGCTGTCACTAGCCAAAATATCTTGATAAACCACACATAAAGGTCGTGGTTCATCAGCTGGTCCTGTCCACGTAAATCCTAAACTCAAATACTGACCATCATATCGTCGTCTTTTGGGTTTAAGCCCTGAACTTGAAGGCTTTGAATCGGGGGGTCTCAGAAACCGACCCATTGTATTAGCAGCATGATTAGCAGGCATATACCTGTATTGGCGGGCTTGCCAAAGAGAAGCGAATTCACAGCTATGGCCTTCTGGGTAAAAAGGTTTTCTTATTTTTGATGTATTATTTTTTTTAGCTTTGTTTAATTTAAACATTTAAAAATAATAAGAAATACATATAATAATTAAACTTAATTATATTTTTATTATATAATATTTTTTCCTGCTCCTCCCCTGACATGCTCTGGCGCCCCCCTGGGGAGGCGCGCCTCACACTTTGAAAACCCCTGCTCTAAGTTGACTACAGTAATGAATGAATGAATTTATTTATTTGTTTATTAATGAATGGCTATAAATCCATCCTGTTTTGATGTGTGTTTAGATGAAGCAGATCCTGAGGATGGTTTTAACTACAGACAAATGATGACCAGAGATGAGCGACGGTTTAAGATGGCCGACCAAGATGGTGACCTGAGGGCCAATAAGGAAGAGTTCACAGCATTTCTTCACCCAGAGGAGTTTGACTACATGAAGGATATTGTAGTACTGGTATGTCTGGGCCATTGTTGTTATCTTCTGTCATTATGTAGTCACCCTTAAATGTCTTCAATAAAGCTGCATGGGATGCTCGCATATGAAAAGCACTTCTCACAAAACAGACGCTTTACACTCAAAAATACCTGTGTATAAATGTTCATTACTACCCTTTCTATGAACAGGATTTGATCATAACTGCAGATCAATGACAGTGCGAAATAGCCTACTGTAACGTCTGTAATTATATTAAATAAGTAAATGCTACATATATGAACACATACAGCCCCTTACAGTACGTTCACACCGAAAGTGGCGAGAGCGTCCAAGGTCGCTCTGGCCGCCCTGGCGACAACGCTGTCTGCCTTCAGCTCCGGCGGCGAGAGCGTCAAAACTCGCTACATTGATCTCGTACTTAAAGGAGCCGTTGCAGCATTATCAGTTACATTCCTGCATAAGACATGTTTTTAGCGTGAAAATGTTGCGCACTTCTTATCAAATTCATATAACAATGGAAGATCAAGTTGCATGTGGTGTGGCTTTGCTCTATTTATCCAATATGTGTCCATATGTCTGAAATATCCTGAAGCAGCAGTACTGTTTTGTACTGTCACATCGCGTGAGATTCCCGCTTTTTAAAGATAAATTTATATAACATTAATGAACATCAGTAACTCACCAGTAACTTATTTAATGTATGTTCCTGTAAGAAAACATTGTAAATAATTGGAAATCCGGCGACCGCAATAATCAAACCCTTGGGAACAACTGTGGTCGGAACAAAAGTTCACAGGTCTGTGTTCCCTGAACTGCTATCAAGCGGTGGACGTCTTTATTCTGATTGCTTGCCGCCGAACCGCGTCATAGCTCATTACCATAAAGTTGACTTCATTTCAACCCTCCTCGACGCTCACGCCGGCGAAGATGCGCCGCGCTGCTCCTCGCCGCTTATCGTCGCCTATCGCCGCCGGCTCTCATTGAAAATGAATGACTTCCGGCTACTTTGACGCTCTCGCCGCTTTCGGTGTGAACGTACGGTTACAGTCTCGGATATGTTACCAACTACAGAAACACTACACACAGCAGACATTTCGTCCTTATCTAGGTTCAAAACAGCACAAAATATAGCCTACACTCAGTAAAAACCTCTTATCTGTGTCTGTAATCTTCAGAAGCACACTCATTCCATCATTCCCAGTTCATATCAGTCCAAAAGGTGATGATAAAAATTAAAACAAGGCAGTTTGTTCTTGTTTGCTGAAGAAATATTGTGCTGCTTTTTTTTCGGCTTCTCTTTTTTTTTTTTACGCTTTACTCTCGGTTTGTCAGTGTCTGACAGGATCAGGTTTCAAAAGCACGTCAATAATCAAACGCACGTTATTATCATGAGCTCGAGGTTTGTTTATTTCAGATATAGACGCTCGGCGAGCGCAAGCAAGAAAGCGAAACCGATCACGCTTCAGACTGGCTCGTTAAAAAATACAAGGCACAGGGTAGATTCTGCTCTACTCCATTGGGGCTATTCATCAAGACGCTACAAGGTTTGTTTGAGCCCGATTGACCATGGCTCGTTATTATATGTATATATAATTCCGCTGTAATCTCTGTGTGTATTTTAAGCATGGCGGGTTTTTTTGTTTTCATTTTGGCTTGTTGCGTAAGCGAATGACGTATCTCTGTAAACCAATAGCGTTCATCTGCGTGTCTAGCTCCGCCTTTTGGTACCCTTTCGAAAGGGTTAGGAAAAGTGGTACAGTTCGGTACGCCTTTTGACAGTGGAAACGGCTATGAAAGCGTACCCTACCATACCACTCAGTGGAAACGGGTCATAATAGACACCTTCTCATCGCCAATTCTATTTGATGTCAAAACTGACAGCTGGAGGGGTGTGGTTAAGTATGTTAGCCACACCCAATACCTCCAAAAGATATAATCTGAGAATATAACCGAAAACAAACAGGGAGTGTATTTCCAGCTTTTAATTAAAGATTACAAAGGCAAACTTTTTTTTTTCTTAAAGGCATGCACAGATGAATTGTTCACTACAAACTAGCAATGTCAGCTAACAAAATCATATGGTCTGTTGTGATTTCATGTGTACTTTACTCAAAACTCCTGAATTTCATCTGTATAAAGCACTCAGACACACAAAAAGACACCATAAAGGTAGTATTTTATACTGCCCTTTGCACTATATTTTAATACGTTTTGGTTAGTATATTATGATGTAATATAACATTAGCATTGTATTAATCTATATTCTGTTACATTTTCTTTGTGTCCAGCTATACATGTCATTTTTTTAAGTTAAACCTTTAGTTCTAAGATCATTTTTGTTTTTGGTTTGATCTACAGGAGACCATGGAGGACATTGATAAAAATGGAGATGGTTTGATCGATTTGAATGAATATATTGGTAAGTTGTTGTTGTTTTTGTGTGTGTGTTTGTGCGTATGTATTTGAAGCGTTGTTTATACCTCGTGTAAGATTTTTATCTCGTTGTTTTGGTCAGTCAAATTAGGAATATTCAACAATATTGGTGGTTTTGATGTGCTTATTTGAGAATAGTGTGCTAACATGGATGAATACACTTGTGAAATGTACTGTACATGTGAATCAGGGCTTCTGCAGGGGGACCTGTTATACCCTTTTTACAAGATGTAAAATAAGTCTCTGATGTCGCTAGAGCGTGTATGTGAAGTTTCAGCTCAAAATACCCCACATATGATGCTTTATTTCTCTTTGAGAAGACCTTTTAAGGCTTTAATCCTAATTCTGCTGTTTTGGTGACTGTCGCTTTAAATTTAAATGAGATCTTTTCAAAAGGGCAGAACTACAAACACCTGTGTGTCAGCATATGCAAATTCAAAAACTAGACTAACATCTTATGCTAATGAGGGAGAGATGGTCACTTACTGGCAGGGCTTTCCCCGTCTGATGATGCATATAAAGGGAGAATGCCAATCAAAGTGTTTCTGCAGGCTGTTTTATCAAGTGTGATTATAAAAAATGAAATGTATACACTTTTACCATTTAGAAGCTGCTGATATTCACACACTGCTGTCACAACTGTGTTTGAACACCCCTAATAAAAGTGAATTTTGCATAATGGGTCTCTTTAAGCCTTTAAATACATCTTGAATCAGAGAAGCAAGTTTTAAATTTTTTAAGCATGGCATCAATTTTTGTGAGGAATTGTTTCATTATTTTAAAGTGAGGCACAAGCATAATTTCAGCATCGATCGTCATTAGTGCCTTTATTGATTATAATGTTCAAGAACGAGCTGCATTGTACTGCATTCATTCAGGTCGTTATTTAGGGATGTGATTTAACCCTATAATTACAGATTTCCCTGTTTTCTTGAGTCTGGGATGCACTGTGTTTTATATTGTTCGCATTTGAATTCCAGAATGTGCATTTTTGTGGCGCCATCTAGCGGCGGTAAGCTTGCAACTGTCCAGAGATGCATGTAAATTAGAGACGTGCTGCAATTTCTTTTTATTGTAAAAGTTATTTGCACTCAATTACATAAATCAGAAGTATTCAAGCCTGAACATGCTTTATGCTAAATTAATTTCAAAGTTATATCAGGTTTGTTTTTTGCTTTGAAGTGTTGCTAGTATTAATACAACTCTCTTGTTCTTGACATTGCCGTTTTGTTTTCCCTTTAGTTTGTTTTTCTTTCAATTTTCTTTAGTTTGTCTTAAAATGGTCTTTCAAAAGTTTTCAATTTTTACTCATAAAACCTACATAATGCAAGAGACAGTGAGAATGATCAGAGCAGCAGCTTTTGTTTTTATTTAAATAACCACAAAAAAAACGCCAAATAAAGTAAGTTTCTTTTCAAATCTATAATTACTAATTTTTTTCTCTCCCTTTTTTTCTTTAGCTACGTACAATGTCATTTTACTCCCCTAGAGTTAAACAGATAAGTTTTACCATTTTTGAACCCATTAATGGTCTGGCAGGAGGACTTTTAGCTTAGCAGAAATCATTGAATCGGATTAGACCATTAGCATCTTACTCAAAATGTAAAAAAAAAAAAAAGACACAGAAATTGTCTGAATGCATTCAAAAATGGTAAAACTCGACTGTTAACTCAAGACGAGTTGTAATAGGAGCTTATTTCTAAAAAAAAAAAAAAAAAATGCAAATCAGGACTGGAAAGAGAATATAATGATTATCATTTCTCTCTCTTTTTTCTTTTTTTTTTCTTCAGCAACTTATGACTAGTTTTTAGCTTAGCATAAATCATTAAATCGGATCGCACCGTTAGCATCTTACTCGATGTTAAAAAAAGATCTAGAAATTGGCCAAATGGATCCAGCGTGATATAACTCAACTGTTTAACACTAGAGGAGTTGTAACGGGAGCCTATTTCCAAAAAAGTGGAAACCAGGACTGGAAAGAGAATATCCTGATTATTATTATTATTTTCTCTCTCTTTGTTTTGTTTTCTCTTTAGCCACTTTTGATGTCATTTTAGTTCCCTAGAGTTAACAGTTGCGTTTTGCCATTTTTTTTAAAATCCATTCTGGGAGGACTTTTAGCTTAGCTTAGCATAAATCATTAAATCAGATTAGACCATTAGCATTGTGCTCAATGTAAAAAATTGGCTGAATAGATAAAAGATGGTAACTCTACTGTTAACTCTAGGGGAGTTAAAATAAGAGGTTTAAAAAAAAAAAAAAAAAAAAGTGGAAATAAGGACTAGAAAGAGAATATTGTGGTGTTTATATTTATATATATATATATATATATATATATATATATATATATATATATATATATATATATATATATATTTAGCAACTCTCGACGTCATTTTACTCCCCTAGAGTTAAACAGTTGAGTTTTACCGTTTTTGAGGCCATTCTTGGTCTGGCAGGATGACTTTTAGCTTAGCTTAGCATAAATCGTTTAATCGAATAAGACCATTGGTATTGCGCTCATTGTTTAAAAAAAAAAGACACCAGAAATTGGCTGAATGTGTTAAAAAATGATAAAACTCAACTGTTTAACTCTAGGGAAGTTGTAATAGGAGTAATAGGAAAAAAGCAGAAATCAGAGCTGGAAAAAGAATATCATGATATCTCTTTGTTTTTTTTTGTTTTTTTTTTGTTTTTCTCTTTAGCAAGTTTTGGCAAGTTTAGCGACGTAATTTTACTCCCCTAGAGTTAAGCAATTGAGTTTTACCATGTTTTTAAAACCCATTTCGGGTCTGGCAGGAGGAGTTTAAGCTTGGTTTTAGCATAAATCACTGAATCTGATTAGGCCATTAGCATCTTTCTCATTGTTTAAAAAAGACATTAAATGGATTTAAAAATGGTAAAACTCAACTGTTTAACACTAGGGGAGTTGCAATAGGAGCCTATTTCCAAAAAAAATGTGGAAATCAGGACTGGAAAGAGAATATTTAGGTGATTTTATTTTTTTCCTCTCTTTGTTTTTACTTAAGCAATTGACGACGTTATTTTACACCCCTGGAGTTAAACAGTTGAGTTTTACCTTTTTTTTTTTTTTTGTCCCATTTCGGGTCTGGCAGGAGCACTTTATGCTTAGCATAAATCCTTGATTCGGATTAGACCATTATCATTGCGCTCAATGTTACCAAAAGACTGTTAATCCAAAAATGATTGGTATAGACTTCTGTATTTGCTGTTGTTTGTATTTCAGGTGATATGTACAGTCAGAACGGAGACTCGTCTGAACCAGAGTGGGTGAAAACAGAAAGAGAACAGTTTACAGAATTCAGGGATAAGAACAAAGACGGTCGTATGGATAAAGACGAGACCCGTGACTGGATCTTACCTGCTGATTACGACCACGCAGAGGCGGAGGCCAAACACCTGCTGTACGAGTCCGACGCAGACAAGGTAAAAGCATGGCATCTCTCTGTGATTTTGCATTTGAATGTGTTCCTTTTAAAAACAACAACCATATTTATCAACCATATAAATCTTTTTAAAAGTGCATCTCAAATAAAGAGAACCTTTCCCTCCCTCAATAAGTCAATTTAGAAATATTTAATCAAATTAGCCACAATTCAACTGAAATCATTTTGGATTTGATAAGCAACTTTTTATTAATGAGACGATGTAAAACTGTGGTGTTTTGTGAGTAATTATATAGGAAAAAAATTAATGACAAAGTCAACACAACTGTTTTATGTTGCTTTTATTTTAATCAGGTTTCAACTACATTTTATACATATATATATATATATATATATATATATATATATATATATATATATATATATATATATATATATATATATATATATATATATATATATATATATATACACACATACACACACACACACACACACACACACACACACACACAAAGTTTGACTTTAATATTTTTAGTCAGTTTGATTGATTTAAGTTGAGATGAATAAAGTTAATTTTTATTCAACGGAAAATTAAAGGAAGCGTGAAAAATAAATTGTTACCATGTAAATATTTGTCCTTTTTATTAATTAATAATGTTAAAATATGTCATTCCTTATTGGTTGGTACATTTGAAGCATTTTCCATTCATTTTCATCACACTGGAATATAAATATAATTTATATTAATATAAATATAATATAATATAAATATAATTTAGTTACTAAATCCATTAATAATGTGAAGTACTGCAGAAGGCTCAAGTGTGATTGGTAACATTTTGGTCTGTTATCAATTGTTAAATCTTTATAATCCACTAAAGGCTGATATATACTTCTATTTCAAGCGCACGCATGTGCTCCGGCACAGCCTTTGCACACTCGCGTAGCCCTAACCTTGGCTGACGCCGATGCTGAGACACACCTCTCAAAAAAAAATGTCACCGCACGACACAACGACGTGTATTAGAAGCTCTGTGTTTGTTTGGCTTGGTATCAGTGACATATCTGTGCAGTGCTGAGAGTTGCGAGCCCAATGGAGTGAGTGTTTACAAGTGTCGAGTCCTGTGAAGCTCCTCCTCGCACCTCAAGGGGGCTAATAATATTAACCTTAAAATGATTTTAGAAAAATTTAAAACTGCTTTTATTCTTGCCGGAATAAAACAATTAAGACTTTCTCCTGAAGAAAAAATATTATCAGACATACAGTGAAAAATTCCTTGCTCTGTTAAACATCACTCGGGAAATATTTAACAATATTCACAGGAAGACTAAACATCGTAACCTAAAATGTATGTCTGATTTATTCTGATGGGATTATAAAGGCAAATAATACTGCTTTAAATGGTGCAAAAGCTGAAAATCATTATTTCACAGGCTATTGGTTTGCTTTTTTTAATCTCAACAACTGCTCCAATAATTCTGTTTTTGATTTCCATGACAGGACGGCCGTCTCACAAAGCAGGAAATTGTGGATAAGTATGACTTATTTGTTGGGAGCCAAGCAACAGATTTCGGCGATGCTCTGGTGCGACACGATGAGTTTTAACTTTATGAACTTTGCGCTTGAAAACAAATGCAAAATGAACAATAATTTATTTTATCATTTCAAGCATCCCACGGTGTGAAACTGTACTGTGTTTGCAAAACATTTCTGTTCTTCTACAGCAGCGACTCCATCAAATCCAGCTTGATTTGCCTTTTTATATACATCTCCAGCTCTTCGCTCTTGGATTCTGATGCGATTTCAAATGCACTGATGAAATAGTATTCAGATCAGCTTGTGAAGCTTTTGGAGAGGTTTGTCTAACGATTTATTATGCACCCCGTGTAATGCAGCATAATGGCATACATGTAAACCAACCCAGCCAAGAGTAATAACATTAGATATAAGAGGAGTTCTTGCGCATAATATGACCTAAGCATTGCCCTTATGTACACTACTTGTCTAAATAATATCAACCACTACATGTACAGTTCATATTTATCTGCATTTACCATAGTGAAAACCACGTATAGTATTAGATCTTAGAGAATTTTAGATTTGGTTGACGGGGATCAGCATGTCATGGCTTGAGCTGATCTGTCATCAGCCTCGCTTTAATATTTAGTCATTAAAGGAGTAGTTCACCACAAAATATAAATTCTGGCCTTATTTACTCCGCATTCATCCTTGTTTTAAACCTTTTTTCTGTTGAAGACAAATTAAGATATTTTGAAGAATGTTGGAAACCTGTAACCATTGACCATTATTATTTTTTTCTCCTATGAAGGTCAATGGTTACCTGTTTTCAGCTTTCTTTAAAATATCCTTGGTGTTCAACAGAAGGAAGAAACACTTAACTAACTAACTACACTTGGTAACTACTTGAGAATAAGATGAGAAATGAGTAATTTTTTGGGGGGTGAACGATCCCTTTAAATGCAAGGACCATTCAGCCTTAAAGGACCACTGAACATCGTTTCTTCCACTGCTACATTTATTTAGTGTTTTTGCTTTCAATAATAGACTGAAGCAACAAACTAATGATCATCTTCCCTCAAGTGCCTTTTCAGTCTCCCTCATATCCTGTAAATGGCTTCAAGGCTGTTATGAAAACTTTTTCTTTCTTTCTGCGAGTTGTACATGACTGAACCTCTCTTAAAGGGATAGCTCACCCCAAAATTCAAAATTTGTCATAATTTACTCAACCTAGATTTATTCCAGACCAGTTTTGTTGAAGATATACTGAGAATGTCAGATACTGGTGACCATGGATTTCCATTGTGTGGTTCATATTCATTTTCAAGTCAATGGTTACCGGTTTTCAACATTCTTCAAATTATCTTCTTTTGACTTCAACAAAACTGGTTTGGAATAAGTAAATGATGACAATTGTAATTTTGGGGTGAACTATCCCGTTAACATTAGAATATAGTTCGTGTATATATGTCTATAATTGAATGTGAATTCCATTCAGTATGCTGTGGTCAGGTATTGTAAATACTAAGAGTGTTTTCTCAATAAAATTGCTTAAATCTAGTCATTTTATCTGGTTTTTACCTTTGTTTGGTGTACATGGTTAATTTCCACTCATTATAATCTTATCCTCTGGGCTAGCTATAATCTATCTTGATAATTTCTACTGAATTCTGTTGACTTGTGACAACAAAAATGCTGATCGACTATTTGAAAGGAATGGTTCATGCACATATAACGATTGTCATTTCCTCATGCTTCACTCATTATGTTTCGAAGAGTGTTGGAAACCGATGACTTCGGTAGTATTTGTTTTTCTTACTCTGAAAGTCAATGGCTGAGGGTTATCAACATTCTTCAAAATATCTTTTGTGTTTAGCAGAAAGAAACTGAGAGCTGTTTGGAACCACTTAAGGGTGAGTAGTTGGTTAATAATTGTTCACTTTTGGGTGAACTATCCCTTTAGGCTGATTTTCTTTTTTCCTGAGACTAAATTTGTGGCATTTTTCATCTAGAAATGGAAGGTCTGACCACCGAATTCTGTTCAGTAAGTCATGGAAGTGTAGTGGTAAAACAAGCTAGCAACTTGCAAGTTCATGCTAGCTTACTGTTAAAACAAGCTAACAAATTTTCGCTTGCAACATATTAAAATGTTGATGCTCTTACAATGTGTTTGCCGTATGTTAGGATTGTCATAAAACATTTTAGCAACATGCTAATGACAGCATTCAAGTATTATTATTGTTAGCAACATTAATATGTGCAAGCCATGATGGGTTAAACATGTTAGAAACTGATTCATGCTAGTATAGATAAAATTTGAACATTTAACATTAACTTATTTCATGCTAACAGTCTGCCAACATGTTAGCAGCATGTTAAAAGTAAACATGGTAGCAACAATGCTTAGCAATAACAATGTAATATCATGTTAACGTGCAAGTGAGTCAACTATGTCAGAAGGGTTAGCAAAATGTTAAAACGTTTTATTAATGCATTCAGGGTCGCTGGTCGCGGGGGAAGTTAGAACTGTTCAAACGGCCCTCAATGTTTATGGGACCCAGAAATATTATTTGGCCCCCCTCACTACTAGTCACTTACATCCGTGACCCCAATTACATAACTTCCACGAGCTCCATTCTCCTCTCATATCCCTCCCCCCACCATTTTGGACGTGAAATAGACACTAATGCTTTAATAGGGCCTGCGCTGACCAGCCCCTGAACATATTAAAACAAGCTAGCAACATGCTACTACAACAGGTTAGCAACAAGTGAAAGTCTTCGCAAATGAAGTCATATTAGCTAAAACATGTCAAGTCTTTTACTTTCTGTCCACTTCACTGTAAGTTTAAAGACATGGCTTCTAAATCTTTCATGATCAATTTTTAGGCCCATAAACAGCATTTTGACATTTTTAGTAATTATTTTTAATATTGCACTCACCGGCCACTTTATTAGGTACTCCTTACTAGTACCGGGTTGGATCCCCTTTTGCCTTCAGTACTGCCTTGATCCTTCATGGCGTAGATTCAACAAAGTACTGGAAATATTCCTCTGAGATTTTGCTCCATACTGACATGATAGAATCAAGCTAGTAATCACAGTTACTGCACATGCATGATGAAAATCTCCCATTCCACCACATCCCAATGGTGCTCTATTGGATTTAGATCTGGTGACTTTAGAGGTCATTTGAGTACAGTGAACTCATTGTCATGTTCAAGAATCTGAGATGTTCACGCTATATGATATGGGACGTTATCCTGCTGGAAGTAGCCATAAGAAGATGAGTACACTGTGGTCATATTCATCTGTTGTAAATTTCTATTCATATCTAATACAAACTGTATATAGTGTTCATAGTACATCCATCTGTAAATATTACCCATAGTTTTTTGATAATTGCAATTAATAAACCATACCTGTATCCTGCACTTGCTGCTACTGCACTCCTGGATAGACCTGATAGCCTTGGTTGCCTTGTAATTGTACATATGTAATGACTATAAAGTTGAATCTAATCTAATCTAAAGCGATGGGCATAGTCAGCAACAATACTCAGGTAGGCTGTGGCGTTGAGGCAATGCTCAATTGGTACTAATGGGCCCAAAGTGTGCCAAGAAAATATCCCCCACACCATTACACCACCACCAGCAACCTGAACCGTTGATACAAGGCAGGATGGATCCATGCTTTCGTGTTGTTGAAGCCATATTCTGACCCCACCATCTGAATGTCGCAGCAGAAATCGAGACTCATCAGACCAGGCAACGTTTTTCCAATCTTCTATTGTCTAATTTTGGCGAGCCTGTGGAACTGGTAGCCTCAGTTTCCTGTTATTAGCTGACAGGATACCTGCAGACCTCAGTTGTAACAAGTAGTTATTTGAGTTACTGTTGCCGTTCTATCAGCACCAACCAGTCTGGCCATTCTCCTCCGGCAACATCAAGGCATTTGCGCCTACATAACTGCCGCTCACTGGATATTTTCTCTTTTTCGGACCATTCTCTGAGAGGGTTGTGTGTGAAAATCCCAGTAGATCAGCAGTTTCTGAAATACTCAGTCCAGCCCGTCTGGCACCAACAACCATGCTACATTTAAAGTCATTTAAATCACCTCTCTTCCCCATTCTGATGCTCGCTTTGTCTACATGCTTTAATGCATTGAGTTGCTGCCATGTGATTGGCTGACCAGAAATTTGCGTTAAGCAGTTGGACAGGTGTATCTAATAAAGTGGCCAGTGAGTATATATTGGCGCTCCATGCAAGTCTAGCAGAAGAACCTCATAACAAACAGTCTATTGTTATAGTCATCAGTAGATTTTATTGCGATTAGTCCAGTACAATACAAAGTGCAATATAAATAAAAAAGTATGTGTATGTGCAATGTTTCAAATCATGTAGAAAGGGCACAGATTCAGAACATGTATAGATAAACCAGCGTCGCAGGACAAGTAGCATGCAAAACACTGAGTTAGAAGCTCCTATGAATGTTTGTTGTCCTGCGGAAACCAAAACTGGTCCTTTTCCATTTTCCGAAAGGCTCATTTGGTGCTCAATGTCATATCAATCAGTATCATTATTAGCTTTCTTCAATCTTAATCGCCATCATCGTCAAGATGTTTGTCGAAAAACTGAAGAACCTGAAGATAGTTCAGTTGTTGACTGCTTGAATCTGAACTAGACCCGGACTGCTCTCCTGGACTGCTGTCGTCTAAATTAGTTGCGATGTCCTCGTTAATGTAATAGGAGTCATGAGTTTGTAGATCAGCGGTGAAGTTACTTGCATCTTGAGTGTTTTGCACAGAACTTTCAGCTCCTGAAACCACAGCATCTACAGTGAGATCGTCAGACTGTCTGACACAATCTGACTGAACGTTTTCTGAATGTTTATAGGAAACCAAGGCTTTAGTGTTTATTATTTGCGACTCTCCTTTAAAACTGGAGAACGCAGCATCTTCTGAATGAGTTTTTTGCGATGGCGAATGGTCTCGTTCTGGAGTTAAAGTCGAGTCTCTGTGTATTTTCTCCAGGTCAGACTTAATTCTGTGTATTCCAGATACTTTTTGTGGTGGATCTGCATGAATATCTTCAGAATCGGTCTGATTTGCAATGGCAGTTTCATAGTCTTGGTCGACTTGTGTATTAAGCATTTCTGATGCATCGTCACAATATGAAGTGGGACTTTGTATTTCAAGTTCTTCGGTGACATCCGAATCGCCATTTTCTAATCCATAATCCATGTTAATTTCCTCAAAATCCGAGCAGACTTCTACTTCGGTTGTGAAGGTGGTGGTTTCTTCACTCTCCTCGTCACATTCGCGAACCACGACGTAGTCCTGAAATGACACTGTTTTATTGTTGAATCTGTGCACGGGTCTCCCGTTGGGCCGCAGCGCCAGATAATTGCGTCTTGGTTCTTTTAATAGGGATTTGTTAAATGTTATTGATGGTAAGTTTGCAGCAGATGATGATGATGATGGTGGTGGTTCTTCTGTTTTGGTGTAGATGCCCTGTTTGCCGTAGAAGGGTGAAGTGGAGTAGTCGTATTCGCTGAACGCCTCGTTGTGACGTGAAAATGTGTCCTCCATTAAAGGCATTGGTGCGCTGTGGTTCACCTGTCAAAGAAAGGCTGTTTGTCAGCTCTGCTTCTCTCAAAACATACTTCTGTTGTCAAATACATGTTATAGGAGATTTGGTAGCATTTTGCTAGAAGGGCTGTTCTGTTCGAATGAGATTTTTTGTTTCACTAAAAAAGTGATCATAAAAACATTTATGACACAATTATAATGGCCTTATGACAATCATGTTTATGACAGATTTATGACAAGTTTTGTTGTCCTGGTAATGCCAAGTTGTGAAGACAAAAACATAGTCATTTGTCATAGCAAACTATGTAATCTTTGCATTTAAAATGACATAACTGAGCAAATGACATTTAATAACACTGTCATAGGACTGCATAAAATCTCCTTCACATTCACGACAGTCTTATGAACAAGTCAAGTGTTACCAATTTGGTTCTATAAAATTGATGATACACACATATATTAGTGTACCACTGTATTTTCAAGAATACAATAAACCAGTGGTTCTCAACCACGTTCCTGGAGGACCACCAGCACTGCATGTTTTGGATGCCTCCTTTGACTCTCACACCTCTTTTACAGGTCTTTCAGACTCTGCTGATGATCTGAATCAGGCATATCTAGTTAAGGAGACATGGAAAATGTGCAGAGCTCGTGGTTCTCCAGCAACAGGGCTGAAAATACTGCAATAATTTGTAACTTTAAAAAAAAAATTTGGGGGTTAATTTGTATGCGATTCATGCAATGTATAATCTGATTCATACATTTTAGTGTGATTTGCCCATCCCCCCAAATGAGAAGTGGTGGAGAGGGGTGGAGTTTGGGGATACATTTGAAAATAGTTTTTAAACCAGTGAAATTGTATGAATTCGTACAAATTAGATAATGCTTTTTTTAAAGTTACCTCATGTATAACATGTATAGTTACCTCATGAGATTGATTGAAAAAAAACTCTCATGAAATTGCTTT